AACTGTGTATCATCCCTTTAAGTATCTGGTTAATGTAACTATATTTAACACAGATGGCTGTTCCCATTTCTGTGTACAATCTTGTGATAAATATCCATTACTTGGTCTAATCAAGTGCATCTCTAAAGTGTTTTACTCTCTTTTGGTCTTTTTTATACTATGCAGTAGTTGACTATATTCTTGTTTTGGAATATGGGATAATTACATGTTGTGCTCATAAAAAATGATGTGCTCATAAAAAATTGTTCCTTCTATCTATATAATTCTTGTCTAAAAATTTTAACTTTTGTTAAATTACAATATGTATCCACATCATATGCATTCAGCTGTTTAGGTGTTTCATAAGTTGAGCAAATTTTTCTATTCAGCATACAGACCGAGAGGAAGAACATTTTTAGCCATATAGTGCCAATCTCTATGTCTTTTGGTGCACATGAAGATTATCTCTTTTCCTTTGTAATCTGTTGCCCTGGATTCTAATGGCATTGTCTGCTGATGCCGGCTTTTGTAATTTGTGTAATTCAAATATTATTCCTTCGTTTGGGTTATTTATTTCAGTCTTACTGTATTAAATTTGTGAGATTTCTCCATATGATCTTATGCATCAACAGCTTCATTGATCACATACTCTATGCCAAGTGACTGTTACCCTCATTACAATGACACTTCTTGAATATTCATACACACTACTAAATGAATAATTGAAAACAATTTCTAATAGTTAATGAAACTCTTTGAAGAATGCAATGTGGTAAATGAAGTTATATTTTGGCTGACCAAGTTGGCCAGTACTCATTTACCCTTGGCTATATTTGAAGCTATAGTCACTGTACATTAGGGAACAATTCAAATAGAACCTGCCAAGGTTAGAAGAGCAGATATATACTTTTTATGGCAAGGAAAATATTCTTTCCAGAAAGTAACTATAAGTAAGATTTATTGTTAAAGTCAACAAGTCTTGGAAATTCACTTGGAAAGTGAAACACAATGTCTGCTGAGTCTAGAAGACAGTGCTGAGAGTCATAAAAAACAGTGTTGTGGAAAGGAGCAGAAAACCATATCTAAAGTCATTCCATTAATCAGTCGCCTTATGAAATATGTAGTCAATTGCAGAAGAAAATTTTTCACTAGGTGACATAGCTTCATAATGTGTATTAAAAACAGAATATCAAGTTTGCTCATACTTTACAAACATTGTTGTGCACATTACTGTAGTGGATATATCAGCTTAATGAAAGAAAAAAGCAAAACAGATATGGTGCAGCTTATTCCCATACAAATGAGTGTCTCCCTACACCCTACCAGGAGCACATGTCTTCAGAACAATAAAAGAGTCTGTGAGTGGGCAGCAAGGGCAACCAGGCAGATCTCAACTCCAAATGATCAGCTATGAGCATGTAATTAATTGTGCAATATCTTCAAAACTCAGTAGAAACAATGAGTCACATAGAATTGACATGGCCACAAAGAGCACCTACCCTGAAAGAAGAGATGAGAACATTTTCAATACTATTGGAAGCTTAAGAATTGGTGGAGAGGCAGGGGATACAGCTCAGAGGCACAAGCGCCTGCCTGGCAAGTTCAAGGTCCTGAGTTTGATTCCCAGTACCAAAAAAAAAAAAAAAAAAAAAAAGGAAGGAAAGAAAGAACTGGTGGTGATGGCATTCTAGAGAATGTGACTGCAATGTTGGAAACATCTGTGTTGGAAATCCAAAATTTCAATAAAAGCCAACGTGATGAGAATGCAAAGGATACCAGGGCTAATGAGAGGAAAGAAGTGGGTCTGAAAAGGAGAACAATACTGCAGGAATTTATGGACCATATAAATGATTTTGGCCTTGAGACTTGACAGTGATAGGAATCAAGGCCAGGATTTTAACATCATTACATGACCAGATTTGCATTTTTACTGGATCAATGCAAAGAATGTACTAAAGAAATACAAGAAGACAGAAACCAAGTGTGTCTCTGCTATACTTCTATAAGGTGAATAAATAAGAAATACTAAATGAGGACTCATTTGATACAGGCTCTACTCTTTTTTTCTGTGGTGAATTTTTTTATGTGTTTGTTTTGCTTTGTGTTGGTGCAGGGAACTGAACTCAAGACCTCTTGTTTGCCAGGCAGGCTCTGTGCCACTGAGCTATAACCCTGACCCTAAATATTTCATATGATAGTAGAAAATTAACTTGCATAACTTTTAGGTTCTTATGATGTAAATCATTATAGCAATAATGTTTGTCATAAAACTGTTACAAGTAAAAATGATGATGTACAGAGCTTAACACAAACTAAAGAGCATGTTTGTTACATTAATTAAAGTAAATTCAAATAGCTGAAATAAGTAACAACTTGCCAAAAAATAGGAAACTTCATGTTGATGACTATAGTTATAGTTAGATAATAAATTCAACATTTTAAATTTTCCTACATATTTTGGGTACTCACCAAAAATAATGAAAAAAAAGTTAATTTTTTTATTTTAAAAAGAATAAAAAATAACAACAACATGGAAACAAAACAAAGAAAAAATATTAAAAATTATACAGGGTTTCAAAGCAGGATGATAGGAATTAACAGTGGTTGTCATATTACATATTGTTATCTCCAACAAAGTTGCTCAGATTACCAGATGTAAGAATGCAAGACTGACCAAAGTAGTAGACAGAATAAAAAATAATAAAAGAACTCAAGGTTTTTATAGGTAAATGGATGCAACTAGAGACAATACTCATAAATGAAATAAATCAGACTCACATGTGTAAACATCAAATTGTCTCCCTAGTGTAATACCCTGAAAGAGTAAATAAAAGCCAAAATATACATTATATGTTATGAAAGAGATAGAAATTGCTTAAAGGAAGGAACAACTGGGATGAGGGAAGGGAGAAAAAGAAAGAAAGAGGGAAACATTATACATATATAGGAGGATAGCTGGGATAGTTGTACTGCTGATGTCTACTGGTTTATTGAAATGCAAAAAACTTTAATGCTAAAGTTTTTTGACCAGTTTTCAATGCTTATATCTGGTAATCTGAACAATTAATCTCAAGACAACAATATGCAATATAGCAACCATTGGTTAATTCCTACATCTAGTCTAGCAAAGAAAAATTAATTTAAATCTACATCTTCCATATAGCATTAATCAATGATATATGAAAGCAATGTCATATTGATAACACACATACAAACATATTTTCTAGGTGCAAGTAAAAGTTATTTTATAAAAATGAATTCACGTAGTATATTGAAGAATAATTTAAATCTCTTGGAACATAGCATAGATAATGGATGTAAGTTTATCAAAACCTACATTCTTCAAGAATCATGTCAGAGACAAACTATGCATTCCGTTTGTTTCAAGTGATGACAGTACCTCATTTAAGCTATTTTCTTTGGATACAGAATTCTGTCAAGTGTAACTGTTGGCAGTTCATACAATAAAATAGGTTATTTGAGCTGGATTATAAAATTAATTTTCTCCTGGTGTGGAAAGGTGATTAACCAGTGAGATTAGAAGAGAAAGTCAAAATCCTGCATTTTTGTTTCATAGTTTTAAATTGAAAAGTAGGCCACTATTAACCAAATATAAAGATAATTTCAACCACTTACCAGTCCAATTATTTAAATACAGTTTGACCAAACCTTGGATATTTTTTATTAATTTTTATAAGACAATACAGTATGCAGTATCTCAAAAAAGCTAGGATTAGTGGTCCCATTCAACCCTGCAATTCCCTTTGTGGTTTTTTTTTCAGAAAAATTGAAAACATTGTATCACAGCAAATGTGTGCAGCCATGTTTATAGCAGTGCAATTTGTCATAGCTAAATCTTGGAAACAATCCAAATACCCATCAACCAAGGAACAGATAAAAACACATGGTATTTTATACAGTGGAGTACTACTCAGCTATAAAGACAGATAAACTCTAGGCTTTTGGAGGTAAATGGATGCAACCAGAGTCCATATTCATAAGTGAAACAAATCAGACATGCATGTGTAAACGTCATATTGTCTCCCTCGCATAAGAAACTGACAGAGTAAATAAAATCCAAATGTTACAATAGACATTGTGAAACAGAAAGAAACTGCTCAAAAGGAAAGAACTGGAATTGGGGAAAGGAGAAAAGAATGAATGGAAAATTAAACATATACATATATATATATATATATACACACAAAATAGCTAACATAATTGTACTACTAATGTCTATTACTTCATTGAAAGGAGCAATTAGTGCTTATACTGTTTGATCAATCTTACATGTCTATATCTGGTAATCTGAGCAACTACTTTGAAGATAATATGCAATGTAAAAACCATTATTAATTTCCTATGATTTTGTTTTCAAATTCTGTATCATTTTTATTGTTTTTTTCCCTTTAAAATAAAAAAAGTTTCAGAAAAGCCAAAGAAAAGAAAAGAGATCCAGGAATATAAAAATGACAATTTTATCAAATTTGTTCAATAATTCTCTGTGTAAAGTACATTTTAAAACATTCAACAGACACTGTAACATTACAGTGTGGTCAGTCTTATCTAGTATCTTGTGAAACTTGTTTGCATTACGGTCTTTCTATGAGCAACACACTTTACACTGTTGCATTACTCTTTCCTTCTTTTCTGTGGCTAGCATAATTTGCATAAACTATCTACCCACTAAACTTAATGGTGAAGATGTAGGTGATGGACATTATGATTAGCATTTCATTATCTTCTATTTTTCACTTATTTGGTCTTTTACACCTAATCTAAATTTTAAATCACTTGTTTTGAATAAATAACAAATGGATTCCATAATGTTTGGTCCACCAGGGGCATAAATATTTTGTATCTTTCCTCCCTTTTTGATTACATGATAGCTTGTTAGATGTTGGTCACCTCTGTCACCACCACCCATAGAATTATTATAATCATTGACCCCTACTGGAATTATTTGTTTCATTTTGTTTTTCAAATTCTATCATTTCTATATTATGAACACTTAACAGTAAGGAGACATTTTTTGTCTTTCCACTTCATGATACAGACTTCCTCTCTGATTTGCTACCATTTCTCCCCTTTCCAGATTTTCTTTTGTAGATTTTTTGGCACTTCTTTCTTTAGTCTAAATGTCTCAGTTTTGTCAGTTTTGTATTGTTAAAGAATATCACTGCGTTCTGGAGATGTATGAAAAACGTATAAAACTTACAAGAGTTTTTTTGGGATGTAACACATCATTACAGGTTATTTCCTAAAAATAAAATAAGCATAAATTAGTAAAGGAAAATAACCAGAACTTATTATTAGATTTCAATAGAAACAAACATTGAAGGTGAACACAATGTTCTTAATAAAAAGTACACAAAAAATATTCAACATAAAACAAATAAAAAGATAAACAAGTGTACCTCATGGAAACAAGAATCAGCTGGTTGAAATGACATCTTACTGGGATGGTCAGTATTTAAACACAGGTGCTGTGCAAGTGGTGGAGCAGGTAAACTGTTAAGTGTTTAAAAATGAGTACTTTCCGAATATCATTACTGAGGAATATTCTTTATTGCCCTAAGGACTGAGCATTCATTTCAACAGCAAAGCACACTGGCTCTCGATCACATGGAAGAATATGTTTGTCAACACCCTATTTTCAGGGACTGGGGATTTAGTTCAGTAGCACAGCACCTTCCTGGCAAGCGCGAGGTCTTGAGTTCAATTCCCGATACTGGAAAAAAATAAAACAAAACAAAACAAAACAAAACAAAAAACCGTCTTTTCCTGTTGTTCTATATTCGAAATGATTGAATGAAAGAGCAAAGGAGGATGAAGGAAAGAAGCAGAAGAGAAAGATAAAATAAAAACTAAGGCTGATGGTAGGGAAGAGGAGAAGGTGGAAGGAAGATCAAGCAGAAAATAAAACACAGAATCAGGAATCATAGTTGCACAATTTAAGATCTCAGGCTGTAAGTTCAAAAGACAGTTTTTGTTTCCTTTATTTTTAGTTCAATTTGCATATTTTATTTTTGCCTGATAAATACACACATAAAAATTATACTTATTAATTGTGTATCACAAGATGTTTCAATATATACAGGCAATATGTAATGGTTAAATAAGGTTAAACATATCTATCTCTTTAGTATTCATCACTGTGTTGAAAATTGTCAAACACACTCTTCTATCTTTTTTAAATAGTTCAAAATTGTCAACTGTAGTCACACCACTGTGAAATACCACACCTGATCTTCCTACTCCTGCCTGTCTCTAACTTAGTACCTGTTGTTCGTGCTTTGCCCACTTGCACCTTTCTCCCGACCTCTGCCTTTTCTACTTAAGCTCATTTTTACTGTCCATTTCTCTAAGATCAATTATTTCTGATTTGACATACGAGTGACATCAGGTGACACTATTTATTCTTTACCTGATTTATTTAATTTCACATAATGATGTCTACTGCCTTCCAATTTGTCACAAATGACAGGGTTTTATTCCTCTTTTGTGAATGAACTCTATTGCATCGGGGATATATACCGTATTTCCTGTATCCATGCAGCAGTTGATAGCCTCTCCTGTTGTTTCCATGTATGGAATATTGTGAACAGGGCTGCAATACACATGAAGTAGAGATAGCTCTGCTAAATATTCAGGAGTGGGGTTGCTGAATCATATGGTGGTTCTACTTTTGCTTTTTGAATGAACACCCTACTTTTTCATAATAACTTATTAATTTACATTCCTAATATCCTTGTGCATTGTTTTATTTTTCTCCACATCATCCCCAGCACTCATTATCTTCAGCTTCTTTGAGAGTAGCCATTCCACATGGAGAGAGGTCATACCTCATTTATTCAATAATTCTCTGTATAAGGTAGTTTTTTTGCAATTTTTTTTTGCAATTGCCTGATAATTAGTGGTTTGCAGCATTATTTTTCATATACCTGCTGGCTATTTGAATCATTAATTTTCAGAAGTATCTAGTGAAGCATTTTTGTCATATTTTAAGTCTGATATTGGCATAAAACATGTATTCAAAGTAATGGAACAGAATTGAGCAATATCTATCTCTGTCTCTATTTCTACCTCTGTATTTGTATCTATATCTCTGTCTAAATGTATATCTATATCTATATCATCTATATCTATATCTATCTATAGCAGACTTATTTTCAACAAAGTTGTAACAACCCGCATAAAAGAAGGATAGTTTTTTTTCTCGAACTGCTGCTGAGAAATTGGATATCCAGATGGAGAAGAATGAAACCAGAACCCTGTGTTCACTAGTTACAAAAAACCACTTAAAATGCATTACAGACAAATTTACAACCTGAAAAATACTGAAAATACTAGAAAAACCTTAGGTAAAATATATTAGAATGTGTGAAGAAGCCAGAAATTTTTGGACATGATTCCAAAATCATAGAAAACAGAAGCAATAATAGACAACTGGGATGACATCAAATGAGAACTTCTTCTGCACAGCAAAGGGAAAAATCATCAGAACCGAGAGACATCTGACAGAATGGGAGAAATTATTGAGGTTTAGTGCTAGACTCACTGTTTTACATAATTATGTTCAATTACTATTATTTATTGGAAAGATTAACTCAGATACATTAGGAAAGAGTCATGATGAAAGATACTTTCTGGAAAATGTAGTTATGTCATGTGGTATTTTCTTTAATTACAGATGAAAGGAAAGTAAAATGAGAATGGAAACTGAGATGCTTTCATAGCCTTACAAATATAAAATGATACAATTAAATTTTCAAGGGCTGGGTATTTAGCTCAGCGGCACAGTGCCTACCTGGCAAGCGCGACGTCATGAGTTTGATTCCCGGTACCTGAAAAGAAAAAAAAATTTTTTTTTCAAAGATATTAACCTATGCAAATGCAAGTTACATTAAACTGGTAGGAATAAATCCCTTTATTTTATATGTGGTAGCAAAAAATATACAACTAAACATGAGGAAAATGTATTTCTGCGAGGACAAGGCCTTATAAAGCATATTCTCATCAGTTACATCAACCACAAAACAATAAACTGCAGTACAAATTTTCTGACATTATTTTCACCCTGCTGATTCTGAACTCATAAAACTGCCCATTTTCCCCATCGAATTGTCTACAGTATTCTCCTAGATTTCTTCAGTCTTAAAATTGTTACTTAAAATAATTCTCCAAACAAAATTTAGCTATATAATCAAACTATTGCTACATCTCAAGTATATCTAATTTTTAAATATTTAATATTGTGAGAAATATACTTTTTAGTGATATAATTAAGAGAATATTCACTGTACATTTTATGAAACTGCTAAAAGACTACATTACAGGGAAAATATGTTTTTGTATGTTTACATAAAAATTATATTTCCAGTATTAAACACATCTTAAGAATACGAACATTTGGTTAAGAAAATAATCTTAACCAAATGTTAAAATGTGTTTTTGAAAGTTTTAGTAGAGGTTTCCCAAATACATAGCTCATTCAACAACTTATGAGTTGAACACATTAAGGACAAATTATTACAGATCTTGCAAGATGAAACAGCCTTCCTACTTAGAAATCTTCAGGTATATTGGGACTATCAAATTAACACGGTTTTTCAAGACTTGGAAAATAGAACAATTAGTATTGAATATCCATAAAACTAAGCTAGCAAAGGTGAAAACAATTAAAATATCTATAGTTTAATCTAAACCAAGTGAACATGATAGGACATTTTTAAATGGGAGAGAAAATCACGTATTGGACAGAGTTCAGATGAAAGGTGAGAGAAATAACTGTGATGCATTCAAACTCCAAGGGAAAAGGTTTCCATAGTTGGAGAGGAGAGGGAAGAAAATAGATGGGAGCGTAAACATTTATCAAGTATGAATAATTTGCTGATTCTTATGTACAATTGAATGTTAGCTAATCTAATTTTGATTAGCTTCACAAAAATCAGAACTATTGAATCTGTTTACATTGAGAACTCAGAGAACTTTTCCCACCTTGCTTTCTTTCTTTCCCTTCCTCTCTTCCCCTATCCTTCCTCATATCCTTCCATCTATCATTCACTTTTCCCTCCCTCTCTCTTTTTCCCTCCCTCTTTCCTTCCTTCTTACATTCTTTCCTTATTTTTTGTTTTCTGTTTTTAGGCTTGAAACAAAGTGTCCTAGTAATGTCTCCCAAATGAATTTTATGAATAAATTTAGTCTGTTATTTTAAATTAAATGCACCATCGAATTGTGAACATCTTCATTGAACGCAGGCAGCTATTACTCATATGAACTCGAAAGCAAGCAAGCCAGTCTGCATGTGTTCTCTTCCAAACCTGAAAGTCAGGCCTGGGAAAATCGCAACACAATGAAAACTACTCTGCGGTTGAGGTTGGGATAACAGATGTAGGACATGGAATGGAAAATCTGACACTGTTCTACTGGGCTTTCTTCACATTTTCTGAAGTATAAACTGTATATACGCATATGCATAACTATATGCATATATATGAATTGCATCAAGAAACTCAGGTAGAATTTTACTGTTCAACTAAGAGGAAATTTTAGTTGTTATGAAACTAACCATGCTTCTGGCCTGCCAGAGGGAGACTCCCCGCTGGCTCAGCTGGTGGAACACATACCTATGGTGTTCATCTTGGCTAGTGCTACATCCAAGATGGACATTAAGTCCGTCTTAAGTTTGACAGGATGCCCCACTGTGTGCATATGTCTACTTTAATGGTCACAAATTAGCAAAAAATACCTTTTGCACAACAAGGACAATCGAAGAATGAGGCAGAAACTTGCAGAAAAATATCAAAACCAAAGAGAACTCCATGTGAACTCCAGCCTCCTGGAGCCAACACGGCCAAGATAAACCTTATTAGAGGAAGATGAAGAACCAATAGGAGGGAAGCACATGCTGTAGGACATGTAAACATGTGACCCTGCCAGGAGTGAATTGTTAGTTCAGCCTGGAATGTGGAGAAGATTCATACTGGGCAATGGTAGGAATTGAATTAGGTCTGGTCAAATAAACTAAAACATTTTAAGGAAGCAACATGTATATTTTCATGTGTTTATACATTTTACAATGCAGATATTTAAATGAAAATCTAATTCATACTTACCTTACCCTTTAGAGTAGAGAGCATTATTGCAAAAGGAAAAAATGAAGACTCTTTCTCCTCTGTCTGTTAGAGCAGCCAATTACTTTTTTCCATTATTCTCTATAGACTACTTTACTTGTAGTTAATTATTCAGATAGTCAAGCTGTCAATAGACATGCTTAATTTTAATAGACATGAAAATCTTTAAAGATGTGTTTCATACTGTATACTATTTGCCATGATTTAGCATGCAGCAGTGGACATCAATTATTTTTCCCAAGCTATCTTTATGATATTAAGGACATTAGTTTATACAGGGCAAAATGTTTTTCCAAAATAATGGCAGTCAATAGATATTTCTAAGGTACAGATCAATATTTTGTTGCTTTTCCATATGTTCATTCTTTCAAGCCATATTTTGCACATTCAATATGTCTGCATTTTTAGCCTTCTCTTTTTCTCTGATTTCCTACTGCATGAAATACTATCAACACAATTGTGTTAAGGAAGACAGGAAAACACTGAGTGCCTAGTTGCTCTAAGATAATTACATGTTTGTGATAGTTCAGATTGCTGATTAAAGAGGACCGTAGAAAACACAATGTTTAAAAGCAAAGACTTTAGATTGAAACAGCTCCAAGTGGAAGTCTCAGCTCTATCATTTGTAGCCATACAACTTTAAGCACATTATTGAATTTCTTAAAATTGACCTGCCCTCTACAGAAGTGAGATAAAACAGTTGTTAAGGATGAGAATGGTGGGAACATAAACAAAATTCTGTACATAGGGTCTATATCACAATACCTGAAAAATTAAGACCCTGGAAACAATCTTATTAGAAGTGGTAGTTTGCAGCAAAGATTTATGATTTTTTAAATATTCCTTATTATGAAAATTTAATCTAATTATAAGTATTCTATCTGATTATTTTACTAACAACAAAAATCCATGCTGAGAGAATTGCCTTATAATTGCTGTTCATTTTTAGTATTTAAGTAATTAAATCAATGTAGATATATCCATGAAAAACATTCTTTATACTGACTTTCAGTATATTCCAATCGTTATAGAGCAATCTAATATTTAACTTATTTGAAATTGTTTTGCTATTCTCAATAAAGATACATATTTTTCTTTATTTAAATATGATATATTTAAATATAAACAACTGAGACATGTATCCGTTAGCAATGACATAACCATGAAATACTTGATATATTACATATATTTATTTATTCAAATGCAATGCAATGAATTGTTCTAGGGTTTAGAAATTCAAAGGAAAATAAAAATGGTGAGCATAATTCCTTCATGAAGTTTATAATTTAATGAGGAAAGATTTTTTAAGTGAACAGATAATAAATAATCCCAAATTGTTATAAATTTTGTGAGAACAAAAATAGCTGAAGTGTTTTAAAGTGGAATATTGTTAAGGTTTACATAAAAACATGTTCCCCCGAAGCCTCATATGTTCAGAGGAGGGGTTTTAGAAGGTGATTGGACAATGAATGTGCTATGTTCATCGAGGGATTAATATGAGCCCATACCTTAGTGTCCTGCTGGGAGTTGGGTTCCAAACAGAAGAGGCAGGTCACTAAATGCTCAGCCTAGAAAGGGATATTGCCCTTTCTCTATTTCCTGGATGTTGTAATGTGAGCAGCTTTCCTCTGTTCTGCCTCCTTGTTATACTTTTTCTTTCTTTTTTTTTTTTTTTGTCTTGGAATGGCCAACCATGAACTACAGAGTGAGCCAAAATAAACTCTCCTTAAGTTTAGATGTTAAATATTCTGTCCCAGCAATGAGAAAGCAGCTAAGACAAACATAATGTGAATGATGCAATCCAAGTTGACTTTTCAGAAAGAAGCAAACTGTTCGTTGATAGCTGAACAAAAGGTACAGCTGATACCTGAACTGTAAGCTGATAGTTGAGCAAAGGAGGGTAGGGGAGGAATAGTGTAGACAGGGGAACAATGTGTGCAAAGAGCTTGGCCAGCCCCAAAAAACTGAAAGAAGCATTTGGACAGCTGAAGATAAAGTTTAATAACAAGGAAAAGCTTATCATTTTGGGGCCATAGAAAGACTGCCTTGAAGAGACATTGGAGAAGTTTAGGAAGCATATCGACTTGGTCTCATAATCAAGCTCTTACTGCTCTATCTACTGAAGGAACTAAACAGAGAATTGAACAGACAGGTTATGGTGAGACTAAAAACAGTGAGATCGTTTGATAGCCTGTACTAGTTTCTCATCCAAGTAAGAGGTTCGAGGTGTTTGATTTCATTTGAAATATGTTTCAAGAGAGAACTCCTGAAACCTTATCAGTAATAATTATGAAAACAAAACAAGATCACAAGTAAAATTTGACAAAAATACAAGTCAATAGGAACTGCTGATGGAATGTAATTTGATAACAAAACTAAGGCTAATTTGATATTGTTTACAGAAATTATAAAACTTTATACAATATTGTTAAGGAATTCCTTTTATGTTTCCAGAGCAAAATCTTACATATGAGTATCAAAACATATATGATCATTTCAGCAGTATTGATGTAGTGTAAGAAGTAACTGTCTAAAGTAAAATTAAATATGCACCAAAATTTCAATGGACAGGATATATAAGTATATTTTCAATGTATGAATGTAATAGAAAATTATTCAGTTGTGAAAAATGCTACTTGTCAAACCTCATTAATGTAAATCAATTGCATAGATATGGTATTAAAGTTAATGAAAGAAATCACCAAATATTATAACCAGGGACCATTAATATAAAGAACCATTCTTAAAATGTGATCCAGCTATATCAAAAGTATTTTTGTTATACTACCAAAATGAGAGGGGATGTCAGGGAGATTAAAGGAGGGAAGAATTAGACCATGATATTGAAAGTGTCACCAAGACAGTATGAGAAGAAATACGTGCAACAACTAAATATAAAGGTTGGTGCCCCAGCAAGGAAGCAAGAACCTTAGCTCTATAAACCCAAAACTGACTTTGGTCAACAGCTTGAATGAACTTGGAAGTAGATTCTCCCCACAGAGTTTACAGTAAAGACTGTAGTCCATCAACAGCCTGAAGGTGGTCTTCAAAGAATCTAGGCAGAATACCAAGTCCAGCCTATCCAGATTTCTGGACTGCAATCTGCCAGACAGTGAAGTTTTGTTATTTTAAGTTGCTATGTTTGTGTGAAATTTTTATTGCTGCAATTGAAAAATTGGCCTACATTAATTGTTAATGTTATTCTGTCCTCTACATTTTATTGATATGCCCTGATCAAAGCTATGATCCTGAAAGTCTTCAATGATTTACACTGAGACAAACTAAAACGTGAGATTTGATGAGCATCTTACTTCTCCATCCAAATTGGTGTTTTGGGAAAATATTTGCTCTGAGGGATGTAGTCCAAAGACAGACCACAATTTCCAAGTCTTGCTTCCTAGCCAAAACCAACGCTAAGTTTTCCCAGTATCCAGGATTGAGATCCAATCATTTTTGTGAAGCAGGAGGAAAATACAGCTACAAGAACTGGTACAAAAATATAAAAGGGATTATGACTCCCAGATGTCAGCCCTGGGGTTACCAAAACAGTCAGGAAGCCTAGCCATACGGAAGGTGCTTATCCAAAGATCTTCCAAGGAAGCTATAAAATGAGACAGCTATGCAAGACAAACCTCTACATTATCAATAACATCATAAATTAGGAAAAAAATATGAAAAAATCATGAAGACAAAAATTGTGTTGAATGTGACCTCAACTCCAAATAACATAAGCAAAGCTTTTATAAATCAAGAGGGGAAGAGTGGTTGAAGGGAGGGGAGGGACATGGGAAAAAAAGAAGCAGCAAGATAGTTCATGTAGAAATACAAATTCCCTGTGATAGACATCACCACTCCGTATATTTAAATATACCAGTGAGATAGAAAGAAAAAAATTTCTGGAACAACAATGTGGAAATTACTGTATACTTTGAAAAATGTAAATTCTTGGACTTTGAAATGCCACTTTTTATTTTGAAAAGTGAATACAGAATTGCTAGAATTAAAATATTTAGACACATTTTACATGCAATTAGTTTTTAATGAAACCAGTAATAAAGTTGTATTGTTTTGTTTGGGGGTAGGACTGGGCCTGGCTCTGTAACTACAACTCATCATTAGAATTTCTATGACTCTTTTGCTAATTCTGAGTGGTAATGTTTCTAATTATTTGTATGCAAAACCTGTGCTAGACTTTTCCTGGCTCTCTTAGTACATAATGTCAGCTCTAACCCTTTTTAAAGTTTTTAAACCTATGACAAAGATGATGGACTGTACTTCTTGTAAGGAACCTCAAATTATTTTGAAAATATGATACAAAAAATGGAATTTATATAAATATGTATAATTCCTGGTTTCAAGCTTTAGCACCACAGACACACACACACACACAACACACATACACAAAGTACATATAACTGTTTGCTTTGGAAGCTTGTGTACTCTAGTGGGATTAGTACAGAGAAAATTAGAATGACTTTTCAAAGATAGCATAAATTCAGAGTGTTCTGTATTTTATGCACTTTTCAAAATTCAAAGACACTCATGATCTTATTCATTTTATGTATATCTTACACCAAAAAGGGAAACAACAAAAATGGCATGCAAGAGCAATGATGAGGTCACTCACCAATGTCTCTAATTCACACAGATTTACATCAGATATAAAACAGATGAAGAGGGGACCATGTGAATGAGGGGGCATATAACAGCACAAGTGTATTACAACATTAATGCTACAAGTAAGATAGGGAACTTTAATTGCATTCATGGTAATATTCAATGTTACTTTCTGCTTGGTGATTTTATCATATATCTATTGTACATATGTGTTAGTTACTTTTCTCTAGGTGCTGAGACAAAATACTCCACGCTCAAAATTAAGGTAGGAAAGGTTTATTTACCTCTCAGTTTGTGGAGATTTCAGTCCATAATCAGCTGGCTCCAAGGCAGGGTGGCACATGGCACAGGGGCAACACTTCAAGGCAGCAGAAGACAGCAAAAGCAACAAGAGCAAAACGGGGGAAGCAAGACTCTTTTCCTCCCTTCCATTTATTGTACGCCGCTTATCCATCCACCCATCTCTTTGTCCTCTTCTTCCACAAGCTCAGGATGTTTACAGATGACCCTGGTGCCCTACTGAGTCACTTCGTTAAGCTTCTAAAATTCTCAATTCTCAAGTTGGCACAATGTATAAACCATCACGTCATATAATTACATATGTGTAATACAAATATATGTATGCATATATGTATATAACAATTGTATATGATAGCACAAGCACATCCAAAAAATAGAATCTCAGCTTGATGAATCTTTAACTTTGTAAAATTGACCAAATAGCCTTTATCTGATGTGAGTATACTTATTCATGGGTGAGCAGGACTAAACATTGTTAAGATTAGATAAGATGATGTCCTCCATGTAATGAAAGTGTAATGAATAAGAGCCGAGGATGTGAACTTCCACTGAGTGATATAAGAATTGATGCTCCTGGAAAAAATTTAAAACTCTTAGAGCTCTACATTATCAATAACACCACAAATTAGAAAAAAAAAAAAAAAGAAAATCGTGAGAACAAAAATTGTGTTTAATGTGACCTCAACTCCAAATAATATAAACAAAGCTTTTATAAATAAAGAGGGGAAGAGGGCTGAATGGAGGGAAGGGAAATGGAAAAAAGAAGCAGTAAGGTATACCATTAGAAGTACAAATTCCGTGTGGTAAATGTTATAACTATGTATATCCAAAATATACCAATAAAATAAAAAGAAAAATTCCTGCCACAACAATTTTTAATAAGAACCTATCTTCACAAAGGGTTGTAAGTTGATTTTAAAAATAAACAAATTACTATACCTGGGCTACCCCTGTTAACAAATTCACTTAATAGGACCTAGACTGTTAGAACCCTGATTTACTCTGCAGAAACTGATGGAAATTCCCACTGGAGAAGGAAGCCAAAAGTCAAGTTTTAAATGAGTTCCGGTAACAAAATTAGCAATCTAGACTGGCAGCCTCCTGGTCCCAAATAAAAGATATGTGTTGTGTCTGCAGAACTAAGAACACTACAGTTAGACTACACTGACTTAAGAAGGTGAAGTTATCAAATATGAAAAATATATATTTCTGAAAAAACAAAAGTGAGTTGAGAATACAAAGAGCAAGCATGAAACAATAAAAAGACAGAGAAATGTGCTGAAATTTATGTAATTATTGATATTTTAAAATGTCAATGAATGGACTGAAAAATAAAGGGAAGAAGCATAACTGTAGATAACAAATCAATAAACTAAAAGACATACTGATGCCAGTAGCCTGAACAAAGCACAGAGATGCCAAGAAATGAAAAATCCAAAGGCAAACTTAAAGGTCATGTTGAGCTGAATTAGAAAGCAAGAAATCTAACTGGAATTTACAAGGTGGGAAGAGAGAATAGAAACAATATATAAATACTGTTGGAGAGGTTTCCAAAATTGATGGGAAAATCCAAGATTTTAGATTAATAAAGACAAAATAGTCCAATTAGAATAAAAACAAATATATACTTTCTTTCTAAATAAATGCAACTGCAGGAAACAACTAAAATCCATATTTTTAAAAGCAA